ACCCCGTCAACGGGGGTACAGCGTTTGTCAAACGCGGTACCCCCGTCGCTAGCACACCGCACTCGTATGGTAGATTCGTTCTGGACAAGAGAGTTTGGTAGATTCGTTGTAGACGAGTGAGTGCCCTGAATGATAACAGAAGCCAATGATAGACTCTCACTCTGTCATGGCTGAATGTTGTGMCTATCTCGCTCTGCCAGGTTCACCATGTCGAGCGCTGATGTGACCATGACATCCGAACCATCCATTCGATTGCTTCATACACCAAATGAAGCCTAAATTGCTATTTCGGGTGAAAGTCGATCGCCTTCAGGCTTTGCTACACCATCGAAACATCAGGGTCGGGTGGACTCCACTGATAGGTCACATAAACGATGTCGTGTTCGTCGCCGCCAGACGGTGACGGGCAACAACGTCGTTAGACGTCTCCGTCTCGAAGATATCATCAACGGAGGTGCAGAAGTCGCTTTTGTCGGTGTCTCCACAGAACCGTGCCCCTCGGGTTTCGTTCACCCTCCTTCTCTGGGCGACGGCGATGATGACCCGTACGATTTCGTACTTTYCCAAACAACAATCGCCGAGTTCGAACGGGAGCAACTGCTGAGAGACCAAGAGGAACGAGAGCAAGCTTCGATAGATCGGCGTTCAGAAGTCAATGATGCCGCAGCGGAGGGACTATTTGTTCCTCCCCGGTGTTCGTTGTTTGGTGGACAAGGCAAAAGGAGGTACACATACCACACGCGCAGACGAGGATCGAACGAGTCGGATGCCACCTATGAACGTAGATGCAGCCTCGAAGAGTGCGAGGCCGTTGTGAAGAAGACATGTTGCAAGTCTTACAGGTGTCTCTCTATAATGAAAGCAGTGGAGGTCCAGAAGTGCAGATGCGAGTTCAGATCGTTTAGAGGCAAGGACAAGCGCAAGTGGTGGATAGACAAGCTTCGTAGTTTCACGTCTCTGATCCAAAGGAAGCAGGAGGTGAAACCTATTGTAGAGATGCATCCGGTCTGTGTCACCGCATGGTGTTTGATACTCGGTTGTGGCCGAAACACATACAAAAGACATAATGATGACCTCGACGAAGGAGTCGTCTATGCAGGTCATGCTAACGAGGGACGTCCTCGGACAACAACGCAATATGCGTTGACATGGTCTGCGTTGGAGGATATTATCCTCGACGAGTCGGATCCTATGCCGGATCAGACGGAGACGGGTCCGGATTTCAAGATTAGGAACCGTATTCGTCTCCCTTCAGTGTATGGTAGTAAGAAAGACGTCTATAATAGCATCGAACGCAGGTTAGGCAAACTGGGTGTGTCTTGCGCGTCGTATTAGGTGTTCTGTAAGATATGGAGAGACTATTTTTGGCACGTTAGGCTGGCTCGAACGACTGACCACGCGAGGTGCAACGTGTGCATAAAAAACGTTATCCTCATTGAAGGAGCACTGTCGGGGCCACGGCGGGAACTGGTTGCAGCGCAAAAGAGCCACCTCGATCTGCAAAAGGCCCATTGCAAGCAGTATGACCGATGGTCGGCAGAGTCCGAGCTGCATAAGGACCAAAGTTTGTGCATCATTATAGATGGAATGGATCAGGTAAAGACTATCATTCCCCATGCATCGCGCCGACGTTTGTCGAAGGAGATGGCTAATAATACGATGATGAAAACGATTCTCACCAGTATCATAGCTCACGGTAGGAATCCGTCGTTAATTGTGCACACCTGGTTTTCTTATCTTTCTCACGGGTCGAATTCAGTAGTTACGTCCATTGCCAAAGTTTTGAGGGACGTGCAAGCGCGAGAAGGCAAACTCCCGCCGTTGCTTCGCGTCCAAGCTGATAACTGCGGCGGACAGAACAAAAACAGATTCATCTTCGCATTTCTTGCATTGTTGGTGAAGTTTAGGATTTTCAAGGAGATTCTGATGGGGTTCATGATAGTTGGTCATACCCACACCGACATCGACGCGAAGTTTAGTTTGTTTGCTCGCAAACTAAACGGCTCCGACGTGTACACGATGGAAGAACTGTTTGCGGTGTTGCAACAGTCATGTGAGGAGCAAGTGGAGTGCACCCAACTAATGGAAATGGTGGACTGGAAAACCACGATCTCGCCGTACCTTGACAACTTGATTTCAGGCCATGCCACACCCCACCTTTTCTGTTTCTACATGGAGGATGATAACCCGGCTATGCTCTACAAAGCGCACTGCACCGACAAGAACTGGGGGCCTGAGAAGGGACCGGTATACTGGTTCAAACGGAGTGCAGACAAGAAATGGGCAGGCCCCGAATGGGGGTTCGAGCCCCGCCGCGAGTCGCCCGACCCCGCTTCCGGCGACTTTACAAATGGCAAAGCGGGTTTGCGCGTTTTAGTTAAAACGTGGAAGGACGCAATGAACGAATGGGAAACACAAACAATAGAGGAGCGACAACTCAAAACTAGCAGGCTGAGATATTGGACGGAGCGTTTGACCGAGTTCGACAACATTGAGGTGGAAGAGACCAGAACAGTGTCGTTGTCATTCTCTTTTTGGCCAAAGCCCATGCCGAGCGATCCAAGTTCCGAGCATTCGGTCCCGTGCATCTTGCCACAACCGTTTCGGAAACCGTGCTTTGTGGGTCATAGGAAGGATGCACCCAAACCGGAATTCGACCCTTACAAAGCTGTTGAGCTTGATGATTTCGTTGTTCTGCGCGCTCCGGACGACCACGTGCAAGAAGGGTGCATCTTTTGGGTTGCTCGTGTCATCAAGAAGGAGACAACCCGGATTTTCGTGGAGTACTGGAGGCCATGCGGTCGCAAACAAAAACTATCTAAGTTGTACGAAGACGCATGGAATAAAACGTGGAGAGTGGAAACTGAATCAGAACCCGGATGGCAAGACCTCAGAAGCGTGGCGTGGGCATGGACCAGCGGGATTCGATCCAGAACAGGAATGAAAATCCGGAAAGGGGATGTAGTTAAAGCACAAAAGTCCTTGGCGGCGCCGGATCCAGTTGATGCTGCATTCAAGAACAGTCACGATCTCGATGCATGACGATCTTCAAAGACGTTGTGGATCGATTGCGGATACGCGGAACGCTGCCTCCCCCCCAACCCCCCCCCAAAACCCGCGCCCCACTGCTTCTGACAAACGGGGGTCCTGCGTTTGACAAACGCTGTGCCCCCGGTGGCGGGGGTCCTGCGTTTGACAAACACACGACCCCCGCCAACAGGAGAGCGTCCCGCGTTTGCCAAACGCCGGGCCCCCCTACCGAATCTGTTAAGGAAGGGGTGAGGAAAAGATAGGGTCCAGCGTTTGTCAAACTTTGTACCCCCATTGGCGGGGCTCCAGCGTTTGACAAACGTTGTGCCCCCGTAGTCGGGGGTCTTGCGTTTGACAAACGACGACCCCCGCCAATGGGAGAGCGTCCCGCGTTTGTCAAACGCAGGACCCCCCTACCGAATCTGTTAAGCCTGCAAGGGCTGAGGAAGGGATGGGGTCCAGC